GGTTGGACGGGAGTGGGGCCGGCCGTCGGGTGACCGAGAGCTCCGCCAGTCAGGACTGTCAGCTGCCAGTGACACACACTCCCACCCCCACGACCCCAGCACCCGGGAGCGTGAGGCGAAGGATCACAAGCTCAGGTTCTGCCCAGGCAACCTGATGACACCCTGTCTCCGAATAAATGTGAACAGGGCTCGCACTGTACCTCAGGGTGAAGGTCCTGGTTCAGTCCCCACTACTGAGAAAAATAAAGAGACAGAGGCAGGGGAGATAGGAAGTCACTGGGGCTCCTAGAGCCGGAAAGTCAGGTCATGTCAGCCTGGGGGTGCTTGTACGGTTACCCCTTGGTTCCAGGACTCCCGGAATGAAGGGAACCAAAATCCACACCACACAGCGCTGTGGTGTCAGTGCACGGCCTGGGCACGTCCTGCCAGTGCTGTAGGTCGTGTCTAGGTAAAATCAGTGCTTAGCACAGTGTAAGTGCCCCATGAATCATGGCCACGCCGTTGTTTAGAAACTGTGACCAAAAACCCTGTACATATTTGGCACCAAACATTTTTTTAAATATTTTTGATCACATGGATCAAATTGTCAAAGTGATCAAATGATCAATTTGTTAAATATTTTTTAACACAGTTAACACTGCAGACGGGAACCCCTTGGCTAGAGAGGGTAGACTGTGCTCCATTTGGGCCCCTCTCTGGAGAGCAGAGAGAGATCACGAGGGTCTGATGGTGCGGGCCTCCAAAGGGAGAAGTGCGAACCGGGCAGCAAGAACCCGGCCTGCTCTGCTGGGAAAGCCCGGGGACACAGGGAGGGAAGCGGCTGTGGGCCCCTGTCCCCTGGAGGACGGGCTGCTGTGAGGGGCCGGCCCCTCCCGGGCTGCTCTTGCGAGGAGCCCTCACCACTCCCCTCCTAGCCAAAGAGAGGTGCCACCTGCACTGCGAGTCCAGGGAGACCGGGGAGGTGGTGTCCATGAAGCGCATGGTGCACGACGGGACGCGCTGCTCCTACAGGGACGCCTTCAGCCTCTGCGTGCGGGGGGACTGCAAGGTGAGTGCGGGGGACTCTGCCTCCCACCCTCAGACCTGCTGCTGCTGCTCCTTGCTTCTTTCCAGCAGTGTCAGGGACGGAGGAGGCCGGCTCACTCCAGGCCCGTCAGGGTCCCACACTGGAGCACCGAGGAACTTGGTGCCTGGGGTTTGGGGCGCCTCCTCTGAGACCCTGGTTTCTAGGCCAGCCCGCCCTCATGAGTGGGAGAGGCATGAGTGAGGCCACCTGGCAGAGTCACCTCCAGCTGACCCTGCTGCGAGCTGACAGTGTGTCGAGCCAAAAGGGCACTGGACCCAGCAAACCTGTTGGACGTCCCAGCGTTGTCTCCCCACGGTCAGGGCATGGTTGGAGCTGCCGCTGCCCAGAGGCACGGAGGGCCCAGCACAAGGTCAGAGTTCAAACCTGGGGGTAGACCTGCTGCGATTGCACACACTGCTCTCTCACCATCTGGACACCCACGGCTTCTCTCTTGGGCCATCATGAAGGATAAGGGTGGGTAGTCTGGCCTGCGGTGGGAGCCGATGCCCAGAAGCAGGGAGGCCTGTGCCTGAGGCTGCGTGGACAGGGTCGTGACAGGTGTGGGGGGCTGATCCTCCTCCTGAGCCCTGGAGCGAGGCTGACACGAGATGAGGGCAGAAGCAGACAGCTGCTGCGGGGCTGCTGGCCACAGGCGGGGGCTGCCCGGCTCACTGCGAGACAGCACGTGACTGAGCACAGCCACGAGCGCATCGTTTATGGAGGAGCTGCGTGGCCACGTGCAGAGCCCAAGGCCATCGAGAGAAGAATTTACCACTCATTTCCGCCATGCAGGGCCAACCGTGCAAGCTGCGGCTGGGTCAGAAGGCAGAAGCGGGAGAGCAGGGGAGCCTAGCCCACAGCCCTGAGTGGATTTCCTTGGGAAAGACCACACCAACAGTGGAGGCTGGGAGGTCCTTTGAATGCCCCCAGCTGGCTGTGGGCCCCTGGCATCTCCAGCTGTCTGGTACCTGAGCCGGGGATGGCTTGGAGCTGAGGAAACGTCAGTGCCGACTGCGGAGCCAGGGGTCGCTGGGCCGCCGACTCCGGGCTGTTGGCCTGTGTGTGAAGGATGTGTACCCGGCCAAGACCTTGCTGCTGAGGACCGGCCGGCCCTGGGGGCTGCCTTCTCCCCAGCCAGGGAGAGCTTCGAGGTGCCCAGCGTCCGAAGACGCAGGAATGTTACGGAGAAACAGCACAGGCAGTAAGCAGAGGAAACACTTGCACCTCAGACAGCAGCTATGAATGTGATGCTAACCAAAGTGCGAGGCCAGTGCAGTCTTTCAACACGTCGTCGGCTGTGGGTATAGCTTCAGTCTTGGCGCTGGTGATTAAAGAAGACCAGGTTAAATATTTTATTAATTAACGGTGTGACTGATTCATAAAGGCAGGTGGCAAAAGGAGACAGAGAGGAAATGGGAAATGAGGTGAACTGTCAGTCCCGATAATACATGTGTATGCAAAGCTCCTCTTTTGGAAAAATGCTGGCGAAATAATGAGATTTAAGTGGGTGCTGTCCATCACAGAAGATCAAAATGCGGTGACTCGCGACGTTAGAAGTGAGGTGCCGCAGAGGTGTGAGGGGAGCGGGCCTGTGTGCACACAGCGGAGAAACCGAGGAGAAGCGTTCAGTGAGGCCTCTGTGGTCGTTTTTATTTTAAAAAGGGCATAATTGTTGCCTTGATAAAAGTAATAACCTGCCATCAGATATGTCTTCTAAAGACTGCTATAAAAAAGAGAGAGATTGCTATAAAAAAAGGAATTGAAGCCAGTTTGTCACTGCCCTTGGGTCAGAACACTGCGGTGAACAGCGCCTCCTGGTGGTCAGAGGTGGATGCTTCTGCGCTGGCTGCCGGCCTGCGGAGCTTTGATGACTGGTGGATACACTGAGATGGGCTGTCTTCCTTTTGTTTTTGTTTTTGTTTTTTTCCTGTTGCCATAACAAATACCTAAGGCTGGATAAAGTGTAGAGAACAGAGTTGCTTAGCTCCCAGTTTAGAGCCTGCAAACCCCCGAATGGGCGGACCTGTTGGTTCAGACCCACGAGTGCCCGCTTGGCTGGGTCACGATGTGGTGGTGAAGCAGAAAGGGAAAGCAAGGAGGGCGCCAGAGGGCGGTGCGTGGCGAGGCCTCGCTCTGCAGCAGCCTGCTCTGCGGACAGCGAAGTCTCTGAGCCCCGCTCTCCTCCCGGGCCGCACTCCTGAAGCCCCCACAACGAGTCCCACCCTCCAGCCCAGAACCCCGGGGACGATCCTGGCCACCCACGTGCAGACCGCAGCCCAGGAGTCACGCAGAAGCCACTGGGTCCAGCCTTTGGACTCTGGTCGCTGGCCACATCCTGATTTCAGAAGTAACAAGATGGGAACCATCAAGTACTACGCTTAGTTTTCCGTCTTTCTCTGTTAACTTCTGTGACCTTCAGAACAAAGGCTCAGTTCAAAGTTCTTTTGAGATGCGGTACGTGTTTTCCTTTGTCCACATAGCCTACTCTTTTCCAGCCAGTTCAATTTGCAGTTAGTGTCTTAGGTCAAAAACGGGCCTCAAACCTTTTTAGAAAGAGCCCATGTGTGGGGCGTGGTGTTGCGCACCGATAACCCCAGCCGTCTGAGAGGCTGAAGCAGGAGGATCACAAGTTTGAGCCCAATCAGGGTGACTTAGCAAAAAATCCTGTCTCAAAAAAATAAAAAAGGGGGCCGGGCTTTAGCTCAGTGGCACCACCACCCGCCTCTAGAGCACAAGGTCCTGAGTTCAATCTCCAGTACCTAAATTAATTAATGAATTAAAAAAATAAAAGGCTGAAGACATAGCTCAGTGCAAAGGCCCTGGGTTCAATCCCTCGTCTGGGGGTGGGGTTTTAAGGAAAGGAGAAGCACAGAGCAATCCCCCGAGACAGTGAAGAACTCCTAAATTAGAGCTGATTCTCAGAACTAAGGGGAAAGGTCTCCTGTGGGCTCGCTTCCATCCGTGGGGCTCCCGAAACGTGCTGCGCGCTCGGGCCTCCAGTACCTGCATGCACCCAGCGTCCCCTGCCGCCACGGCTACGACAGTGGTGGCTCTGGGAGGCTCTGCAGGCTCCTGGAACCTGACACTCGGCGCCCTGGGTAATGTGGATCCTCTCATGAGCCTTCCTCCCTGTGGGGGTCCCCCTGGCTCCCTCCTGTCCTCCTCAGGGAAGGGGCTCTCGCTGTGTGCCAGGGATCAAGGGTCTCCCAGGGCCCTGTGCCCCTCCCTCCCCTCCCCCTCCCCTCTTCCTGCCAACAACCCTGGCAGGGTGGGCCTGCTCAGACGGGACCTGCCATCTGTGCCACAGACTGGGGCAAACTCGCTTTGATGGCTGCCCTCGAAAACCGCTGCCAAGAAGGGCCGGCCCTATGGGTCCAGCTCGGCTGCTGTGCCTTGAGAGGCCCATTCTCCTGGGCGTCAGTGTCAAGTGCCTCCCAGTGGTAAAGGTTTCTCAAGAAGCTCTGAACTAAGCATGATGCTCCTCTTGGTGGTTTCACACCCTGCACACTTCCAAGAGGAACTCAGAAAGCTTCAATGAAGCTGGGCCTGGTGGCGCACACCTATAGTACCAGCGCTTGGGAGGCTGAGCAGGAAAACTGTAGGCCGGTCTGGACAAATTAGCAAAGCTCTGCTCGTAATAAGAAATAGGAAAGGCTGGGTAGTTCAGCGTAGAGCACCCTGGGTTCAGTCTCCACTACTGCAAAAAAACACAGCAGTACTCGTTAAGGTATGGGTCAGTAGGGACACAGAGCATACATTTCTCTCTGCACATTCAAAACTGACGAGTCAGTCACGGCTCTGCTGCCCTTTCATGGTCTTGAGCCCCTGCAGTCAAAAGTCTCTAAGCGAAAGTCAGAAATCAAAAAGCTGCTGAGGGAGGCTGGGGATGTAGCTCAGTGGTAGAGCATTTTCCTAGTGTGTGTGAGGCCCAGATTCAATCCCAGCATTAAAAATAGAAAGAGAGAAAAGGAGAGTTTTTAAAGGAGATTTGGCTGTGAGCGTCCTAGCAGCCAGAGCAGAGGGAAACCTATGTTGCTGCTTTATACTCTGGATACCATGAGGGGCCGATCACCCAGCGAGTGGCTCTTCTCTGCTGAGCCCTCAGAGAGGTGGTCTCCAGCAGGAGGCTGCACCCCTCGCCCTCACCAAGCCCTGGGGCGCTCGGGCTATAGAGGGCAGCAGAACCGCATGCGTTCTGGTCTGCCAGGTGGCTCCCGGCGAAGAAATTCCCTGACCAGTGATTTTAGTTCCTGAAGTGGCAGTGTTCAGGGATTCAGTGAAGGATGTGGGCAGAGGGGTCCCACACTCGGCCACCAGCGGGCCAGCACCTGAAGACTGAGGGACGCTGCCCTTCTGCAGCAGGGCAGGGGTGGGGTGGGTGGGAGCCGTGGAGGGGCGAGGCCAGGCTCTGACTCCTAGAGGAAGAGGAGGTTAGGAGCTTCTGCCGGGAATGGGCAGGCGCACGACACACCTCGCTGATCCGGGGGCCGCACCGGTGCTCTAGGTCTAAAGATGGCGGTGGGAACTTGGCTCTCTAACTAGTTCTCAGCACGTAGGGTTTACAGGAAAGGGTTTGAGGGAAAAAGCTGGGTTTTGTGCATTATAAGTTCCTCAGCACTTAGGGATTGGGTAGGGGTGGCCACACCCCTGCTGCCTAAGCAGAGTCCACCCTAGGTCCTGGTTGCCTGCCCGGGCTGCGGGAGGGGCAGCGGCCGGAGGACAGCGGGGTGGACATCTCAGCGGTCCCTGTCCCCTGCAGAAAGTGGGCTGTGACGGGGTGATCGGTTCCAGCAAGCAGGAGGACAAGTGTGGTGTGTGCGGCGGCGACAACTCCCACTGCAAAGTAGTCAAGGGCACGTTCACGCGCTCGCCCAAGAGGCTTGGTGAGTACGGTGCCCTTGGCCTCCCAGTCGCCGGGGCCGCCCACCGGGTTCTGGCTTTGTGCCCGTGGCTGGAAGGTAGGCAGAGGGAGAGCCCGAAGGCAGGGAGCTGGAGCCTGTATAGGTGGGGCGAGGAGGGCGGTGAAGGCCCAGCCGGGCCTGGAGTCTTCTGGGGTCAGGCTGTCAGGCCCCCACCCTGCTGCCCTCTCCCCCTGCTGCCCGTGGCTCTCAGCAGGGCGTCCCTGGCCACCGCTCTGTCCCAGCAGGGCCTGAGGCTCCTGGCTGTGTTCCTCCAGTTTTGGTTTCTGTAATGAAGTTCCTGAGGGTGGGAAACTTAAGAAGAGATGTATTTAGTCACAGCTTTGGAGCTGAAAGTGCACACGGTACAGTGCCAGCTCTAGTGAGCGTCCTTGTGACTTCGCCACCTCGTGGCAGGTGCCACCATGGTGGCGGAAGTACGGGTGAGAGCAAGGGGTGACAGGGCTGAGGGGAGGGGCCGGCAGTGACTCAGCACTGCTCTGGGCTGCACCCTGGGCTGGCCGCTGCCCCCTTTGTCCGCCAGACAGCCCGAGGCAGCCAGCTGCACCTCTGCAGGGCCGGGCCCCAATGGGCAGAGCCACTTTGGTCTGCCTGTTGGCAGAAGGCCATGGGGCAGTGCACAGGCTTTGCGGTAATCGAGGCCAGGAGGCCTTGGGGTGGTGCTCAGCCCTGGCTCTGAAGTGTGGGGCCCAGGCCGTCTACAAAGGGCGTCGAGGTCCAGACAGGCCCACAGAGGCCTCTCCAGGCTCCGGGCTGGACTCCCACCCACCCATGGAGGAGGTGGGCCAGGAGGGCACCCAGGACCTGAAGAGGAGCAGGAAGGCAGGATGGGCAGCTCCCAGGCCAGCCAAAGCCTCGGGAGGCCACAGTGAGTCCCACGGGCTGCACCCCTCTCCTCTCACTTGGCGTTGTCCTCCGGCCCTGAACATAGGTTACATCAAGATGTTTGAGATTCCTGCGGGAGCCAGGCACCTGCTCATCCAGGAGGCAGACACCGCCAGCCACCATCTGGGTGAGTTGAGCCCAGGCGACTGGCTCTTCCCAGCAGTCAGTCAGGGTCCAGACGGTGTGTGCGGCCCCACATCCACTGGTCTTTAAGCCCGGCCCAGGGCTCAGCTGCCCACCAAGAGCCAGGCTGTGTGTCAGGGCCCCCTGGCAGTGACTGTGAAGGCCTTGGGCCCCACGGGTCATGGCCCTCCCTGCCCTCTGCGAGGCGGGCGAGGCCCTGGGTGGTGTTCCCTCACACACCAGCTGGAGGCGCCACGGCCACAGAGGATGGCTTGCGTGGTGTGTTTATGTATTTTCAGTTATTTTATTTTATGTTGATTTAAAGATTGAACTTGCACTCAGGGCTTTGTGCATGCTAAGTATGCACTCTACCGCTGATCTGATACCCTCAGGCGGTTCATTTTAAATTTAAGAGATTCCGCCCAAAATGGGGATTTCTGACATCTCTGGAAGACGTGACCATTCTCACAGCCCGGGCTCCTGTTCCAGTGTGGCCGCCCCACCTGTGGGGTGCTGTTTTCCCAGCCTTTCTGAGACCCTTTGCACGACTGTCTTCCCTGACTGGGCCGGCACCCGAAGGGAGGGGAGCTTCATTTTGGGTCACAGTTGTAATCTGCATCTGAGCACACACTGCTTGTGGGGCCCCCACACACAGACCGTATGGGGCTTCACCTGGGGATGCAGGGGCAGTCGCTGGACAAGGCCTGCCCCTCCTGCGTCCCTGTCCTCTGCAGGGGTCAGCCTGGGCCTGAGGTCTGCGAACTGCCACATCAGCCACCCCTGCCAACGGGAGACGAACCCACCCCTCTCCTTCAACACTTGTTTCTCTCCTTTCTATTCTAAGGGAAAGGCTGTGTCCTTGCCTTAAATAGAAGTAAGCACTGAAATGAGTCCCTCAACAAGAAAACACTCCCGTCCCAATACTGGGCAGAGGGCCACACTCTTCCAAACATAAGAGCGAATCCACAGAGTAGCTAAAGATCGGAGGCTTCGTCCCAGTGTGGACAGAGTGGCGGACCTCGCACCGGAAGTGCTGTTCTCCCTGCTGCCCCGTCCGTGGCTCCACTTGCCTTCCACAGTGCGGGGTGGGGGCTCCCAGACCAGATTTCCCAGACCATCAGGCGCCCAGTGGCCTGAGTGAGCTCCGAGTTCCTGTGGCTGGAGGACACTGCTTTTCCTGCAGGGCGTTTGTCTCCGCCTCGGCAGGCAGCCCCACCCAGCCCTCACTAGCCCTGTGCCTAGTGGAGATGCCTTCTGCCACCTGCCCCAGGGGCCTTTGTACCAGTCAGCTTCCCATGGCTGCAAGGAAATGCGCGAGACAGCTGACTTAGAAAGATTGATTCAAGATCATCTCCCACATTCTCATGGGGTGCATTCCCCAAGGCTGCAGGTTCTCCCACTGAGGAGCCACCCTAAAGGCTCCACTACCCCAAGTACTATCTGAGGACCAGGCCTTGGGGGCCTTCCGCTCCACAGCCCAACCGAGCCAGCCTCTCTGTCTGCTCCAGTGGACCACAGGGAGGTGGCGGAACCCGTGAGCCTGCAGGGCCTGGGGTGGACAGATCCGGAGGGGTGCCCGGCTGGGCCAAAGGCCCCCGCTAGAGTCAGCCAGTCTCCACAGGGATGACAGCAGGGTGTGGCTCCCAGAGCAGCTTGGGCCATTGGTGGCACAGGCTGATCCCGGCAGAGGACGGCTGGAAGACAGGGGGCACCGCTCCCCACGGCGACCCCCCCAGGGCAGCGTGCTCTGCTGGCTCTCCCCCGGTGGGCTCGGGTCCTACCCTCAGGTGACCGTGGTTGTGGGGGACTCCGTTTTGCCATTCTCAGCCGTCAAGAACCTGGAGACAGGCAAGTTCATCCTAAATGAAGAGAACAACCTGGACCCCAATTCCAGATCCTTCATCGCCATGGGCGTGGAGTGGGAGTACAGGAACGAGGACAACAGGGAGACGCTGCAGACCATCGGCCCGCTCCGTGGCACCATCACCGTGCTGGTGAGTGCACCGTGTCTGCAGGCCGTGCTCTGAGCAGCCCGGGGCCCGCCCTGGGCTCCAGCTCCTGTCGGACAGACATGGCGGCCTGGGCATGGTATACCTGAGAGTCCTTCCTGCTCTGAGGGCTTTGGCTTCCTTGTCGGAGTGACAGTCACACAGCTGCTGTCCACCATGCCTGTTCACACCTGCCGTCACACTGACGTGGCAGTCTGGGACTAGACGGGGGCCAGGCTGGCTCTGTCATCAAGCAGGACTGTGCTCCACATCTCCTTGGCATTCCTAGGTAGGAGGAGTCCCCAGTGGACTGGATTCCCCAGCCGCTTTTTACATTTAAATTTGTTAGCTGCATAAGTGATATATTTTATTTGCCCCAAATTCAGACACTACCAGAAAGCCTCCTGTGCCTGAGGCCCTGCCCTCAGGGGAGCTGGCTGGGGTGAGTCTTACCACCCAGAGCCCAGCAGCTGTGCGCTTGGCAGTCCTGTGACTCAAACGGCGTGTGACACACTGCGGGGAGAGGTCGAGTCCAGGATGGGCCAGCCCCACTAGATGCAGGGTGCAGCCCGCTTGTCTTGCCGACTAGGACTGCTCACGCCGTGGAAATGCCCGGAGTGAGCTACCCAGCAGGCGCAGCTCCTCAGCTTTTGTGGTTTCTGTGTCTGTGAATTCTCCCACTCACTAGAATTCACTGGTGACCCAGGCCTGGGCCTTCGAAGAACGTGCTGTCTTCTTGTTTCAGCTCCCGTGAACAAGTCTTTTCTGTAGCTGATTTAGTGTCACACATTGAGGGTTCTGGGCTTTCTTGGGGGGTGATTTCGCTGTTTAACTTGGTGTCCCCAAGCCCAAAAGGCTGTGGTGGAGAACAGGCTGGGTGAGAGAAGAGAGTTACGGGGTCGTCGGTCACGAGGTCAGTGGTGCTGAATCGACACTGTCGTATAAAACACATTTGTCTGTTATTGGCCGACGAAACACGAGACGGGCTCACAGGATGCTGACCCTGTACAGCTGGCCCTGAACTACAGTGGGGTTGCACCTCTTATCTTGAGCTGAAGAGCAGCAGGTCCTCCTCATCTCCTGAGCACCTTGCTCGGCGGCACAGTGCGCTGTGCGGTGGGCTGTGTCCCCAGGAGCCTGGTCGCTGCTGCCGCCCAGCGTCACGGGATATTGGACTGCACATTGCTCCCCTGAGGAAAGCGTGGAAAATCCACCTTCCAAGTCTGTCCTCCAATAAATAATGCATGTTGCTTTTGCACCATTAGAAAGTCAAAGAGCTATAAGCCCAATCCTCAGCAGCCGGGGGGTGTCTGCCTGTCCCTGGAGTAATGGTTTACTACCATTATTCCCAAATTCAGCGTGCACGGTGATGTCGCAGAGCTCCTGTGAGCAGCCAAAATCGCCTGTACCTCTGCCCTGGGCTCCAGTTCCTGAGCAGGCTGCCGAGCGCGGTGGCAGCAGGGCAGGGGTATTCATGGCGTCCGTGGGCTGGCACAGGTTATCCCGGAGGGAGACTCCCGGATCTCGCTGACGTACAAGTACATGATCCACGAGGACTCGCTCAACGTTGATGACAACAACGTGCTGGAGGATGACTCCGTGAACCACGAGTGGGCCCTGAAGAAGTGGACTCCCTGCTCCAAGCCCTGTGGTGGAGGTGAGGGGATTCTGGTGGCTGGGTCTCCTAGGGGAGGCTCGGCAGAGGCAGGCATCCTGAGAGGTCGGGGCTGGCGGGGTCTTCTGGGAGAGGCTCCCCAGCCGGCAGCACCCTGTGCAGGGCCGGGCCTGAAGCCAGTAAGTCTCGGCCAGGTGTGAGAAGACTGGCCCTAGACGAAGCCACGGCCGGTGACTTTGGCCTGGGACTAGAGCCTGGCCAGGCTGGGAGGGGCCGGTGGCTGATTGGAAAGTTTGAGGCATTGAGCCAGAGGCCACTGGGGGACCAGTGGGGGCTCGGGAAAGCCTCCCAGAACTCCCCGGGGTAGGGCTGGATGCAGAGGGCACACAGCTGCCCTGAACCTCAAAGGGCCGTGGCTGGGTGGACACGGGATACAGGTGCTCAGGACTGACCTCCCCTGGGCGCCCCACACCTCGAGGACAAGCTGGGGTTTGCTGAGGGCAGCGGCCTCCTGCTGGGCAGTGGCACCCGGCTTCCTGTTATGCCCCCATTGCTGCACCCCGCCTAGATCTCATCAGTAGGCCTTTCTGATTCTTCCTCCTGCTTGTCTCTTGGGCTTGTCTGCTGCTCCTGTCTTCCCTGCCACCCACTCAGTGGTTCTCATACCCACCCCCTACTCCCAGTGACCTTTTAGAGGGGTAAATTAGATCACGTTCCTTCTTGGGGACATAACATCTTTTGTAGCATAAGGAACGAATTGCCCTAGTGGTCTCTGAGGTCCAGGTAATTTGCTGACCTTTCCTGCCACCTTGGGGCCTTGCTTGTCACTCCCCAGACCCTGGCCACACCAGATGTAGATGCAGTGTTGGTCCATTTCCCATTACTGTAACAAAGCATCCAAAATAATCAACTTATTAAAAAAGGAAGGTTTTGGCTCAGAGTTTTTGAGGTTTCGATCCACAGTCAGTTTAATTGCGTTGCTTTGGGCATGGCTTTGTGTCAAAGGAGAGAATCGTGGCAGGAGCACGTGATGTGGGAAACTGCTCGCTTTATGTGTCCAGGAGGTGAGAGAGAGAGAGAGCCCAAGAGGCCCTTAAGGCCACGCCCCCGTGACCTGACTTCGTGCCACTGTTAATGAACCTCCCACCTCCATGGCTGACAGCAAGCCTTGCGGAAGTGGACCTTGAGGGACACTCGTCCGGTTCTCTGCTCAGAGGGTCTGCATGGGCTTCTCCTCAGGGCTCCTTCTGCACCCCCTGACAGTGCCACCCCACCTCTGCTTGTTGACGCATCTCCAGATGCCCCGTCTGGGGCAGGCTTCCTAGGGACAATATATTCCCTTGTACATTTTAACCTCATCCTTCAGTGCTGGGATGGCGCTGTAGGATGCAAAGCAGCTTGCAGCCTCTACCCCTGGATGCCAGTAACACATCTGTTCTCTAGTGGTGACAGCCAAAGATGTCCCAGACTTTGCCGAATGGCAGGGGAAGGGCATCATCCCTTGAGACCTGCTGGGACTTTGTGGGCTGTGTGGCCCTGTGCTGACAGATGCTGTGAGGCTCCCTGTGTGCAGTGAGTCAAGGCGGAGCCAGTAACTAGGTGATGGGAGGGAAACAGACTTCCCATGCCCCAGGAAGCCAGGAAGGGCCCCCATAAGAGCAACAGAGGGGCAGAGCAGCCGCTCCCTGGCCCTCAGCCAGCTCCTGCTGTGCTGTGGGGTGGAGCGGGACTGGCTCTGTGGGGGGGCCCCACTGCCCACGGGAGCCCCCTTGAGCGCTCTGTCTTTAGGGTCACAGTTCACCAAGTACGGCTGCCGCCGGAGGCTGGACCACAGGATGGTGCACCGCGCCTTCTGCAGTGCCCTGGAGAAGCCCAGAGCCATCCGCCGTGCCTGCAACCCACAGGAATGCTCCCAGCCCGTGTGAGTTTGGAAGAGGTCTCCAGCCCAGGGTCCCACTGAGGAGAGGCCAGGTAGCACCTGTGCTGCCATGGAGGGAAGGGCATGACAGGTGCTCTGTGCAGCCCTGGGCCTGGCAGCCTCTGCACACCAGAGGGGTCCTCTTTGCCGCTGTGCTCTGCAGAATCCGAGATGCTGCCCTGGAAAGGGTACCCCAGCTTCAGGCCCACTGAGCTGACAGCCAGTATGCAGGTTAGGAATGACCAGAGGTGCCAGGTGGCAGCAAGCTTTCAGGGTGGACGTATCCTAAGTGGCAGCTTTGAGCTGCAGCACTGGGCTTTGCAACTGCCTTCCTGGGCCCAGATCCCTGCCTGCCTAGTTTACGCAGGCAGCTGGGAGACTTCTCAGGACAGGGTGAAGGAGACCTCGCTGCTCTTCAGCTTGGCCCCAGACAGGAGGCCAGAGTGCGGGACTGGGGCCTGAGCAAGGACGGGAGGTGGGCGGTGCCCTTCAGGCCTGGGCCCTCCCTGTCCAGCAGTGGACACGCATGGGCCCTCTGAGTCTTAGCGCCCCTTTTCTCAGCCCCACTGCCAGCACCTTTGTGAGGACAGAAGCTTTGTCTGCAGAGTGAAGCCGGCCGCCTTTTGCAACTCTGCATCCCTGCCACAGGAAGGGCAGCACGCTGGCCAGGGTGGGGCTGACTGCAGGGGCTGACCGAGCTGCTCTGCCCTGACAGGTGGGTTGCGGGTGACTGGGAGCCCTGCAGTCGGAGCTGCGGGCGGGCAGGCCTGCAGGTGCGCTCTGTGCGCTGCGTCCAGCCACTCCACAACAACGTCACGCGTTCCGTGCACACCAAACACTGCAACGACCACCGGCCCGAGAGCCGCCGGGCTTGCAACCGTGAGCTCTGCCCTGGCCGGTGGCAGGCTGGGCCCTGGTCCCAGGTAAGCTGCCCCTGGCCCGGACCTTGCCCCTGACTGAGCTCCGATGAGTCCAAGGTGGCCAGGGTGCCCCCCTTGGGCCCGGGGCCGGGCACAGCTCCTGCACTCGGCCACATCTCCTGTTTTCCGGTACTGCGGGTGACCCGCGGTCAGCTTGGCTGATACACACGGCAGCCATGCACCGGGTCTTCTGTGTGCGGTGTCAGCTGGGCCCAGGGAACCCTGGATGCTCAGGGCTCCAGTACACCAGTGTCTGGGTCTCATTCGGAGGCCACCGCAGGAAGGGAGAACGGTGGGACAGACGAGGCAATGGGGATGGACAGAAGGCGAGGGACCGCTGTGGAGGCGGAGCCTCAGCCATGGCCAGGTGCACGCGGACGTGGGGCCGCAGCCCCGCCCCCCAAGCTCAGGGTCACCCCAGGGCCGCAGACACAGTACTTGCAGTTACAGTTTGCAGCGGTGAAGGGGGAGAGTAGGATCAGCAAACAGGGAAGGCGAGGCGTCGAGAGAAAGGCATGCAGGTGAGGCTGCCTGCCCACTGCGGACGGGGAGCCCCGAGCCTCCCAGCAGGACGTGTGGCAGCGCAGCCGGACACTGGCACCTGGCTGCTCCTTGCGGTGGAGGCTCAGCCCAAACCTTGTAGAGGTCCTGCAGCCCCGCGTGTGCCCGGTGGGGGCCGCCCTTGAGCTGTACAGAGTCTCAGCGAGACGGAGGCTCCCACCGCCCAGAAAGGCTGGCGGTGATGCCCATGCGTTTGTTTCCCCTCGAAGAGCCGGGGGCCGCACCCTGGCCGCATGGGGCTGTGTGGGTGGCAGCCTCACTGGACTTTGCCCTGCAGTGCTCCGTGACCTGCGGCAACGGCACCCAGGAGCGGCCCGTGCTCTGCCGCACTGCAGACGACGGCTTCGGTGTCTGCCCCGAGGAGCGGCCTGAGGTGG